GGCGGGAAAGTAGTTCGGCTGCCCGATGACGTTTTACGTATTATAGGAGTTATTTTTACCGTTGTTTACGGATACTGCCACAATTTTTATAGGAATCATAACTATAGGAAACGGTTTTATAGGGGGATCTACTGTACTATACTAATAATGTATTTTTTCATACTTTTCGGTTATCCGTTTTTTCAGTTATCCGACCAACCCCAGTTCCCAATTGAGTCGGATAATCGATGCTCTACTGTATTACTAGCTGTTATCCGCGACTTTCCCCGCGCGGATTTTGCAAGCAAATCCCATTTATATTCAGAATTTCAACAACCATAGTAATTGTTATACAGTATAACACTTACCGCTGAGAATGATGAGAATTACTGAGAATCAAACGAACTGTTTTCAATTTGATGAATTTTCTGGAACGTTTACAATCGTTCTATAATCGAACCAATATGCAATAACAAATTCGAATTTAAAACGGTTCGAATATTTGGTTAAAAAATCGAAATATATAAAAATATTTATAACAATGTCTGAAATGCTATCAATTTAATACACCTAAGTACTCAATGAAGACTAAACATAGTTGAAAACAAAAAATCGCACCTAAAATAGTACAGTAGAAGTCGTTCTTCGGGTTAAGCCTGAATCCTTTCCCTCTCCCCGCGGGGGGAATTTCGAAAAATCCTTTCTTACTGTGCGTTTTCATAACGTACCCTAACTGTATACCAAATTTCATCTGTTTAGGTTCAGCGATTTGCTCTGGGCAATGATGAATCAATCAGTCAGTCAGTCAGAACAAGTAATTTTGTATATTTAAATTACAAAGTTATTAATCTATAAATTCATATGCAAATCATATTACTTAAATTATCTACATAAATACATTGAACTATCACAAAACTTGCATATTACAAGAAAGGTTATAAAATATTTTATCCAATATTTAAAAAATAAATATTATTAAAATCAAGTTTTTAAATAAAATGCTATTTTATCTACAAAGAATGACATTAAGAAAAATGTTTTCTTCTAAACTTTTGCATTGTGTACGCTAAAAATGTCTTTTTACATCCACCAAAGACTGGCTCACAACAAGGTGACTGTCTCATTATAAATCTGTAGTGGCAAGAAACAAGGCACAGCATAACATCTACAGAGCAGTTCACCTGAGGAAATTTCTCAGATTCTGACCCAGATTCATACCCAATTCCCTCACAATGGCAGGTAGATCAACATACTATAATTGCTTTGATGATCTACCAGCAAAAAATAATTTATTTTATATTGTACAAAACAGTTTCACTTAAAAAAATACAGTTTACAATGAAAATGTACAGTATATTAATGTTTTTGTAGACCTGTAAATTTCCACTGTCGTCCGTCCGTCTGTCCTTTCTTAATCTCGAAAACGGGGTTAGATAGATGAACGTCGAGGCTAGATATATAAATCTTAGGGAAAGTGGGCACCGATTAACTATATTCGATCTTCTGGTGCTAACCGGAAAATTACGTTTTAATTCGAATGTTTTTCCCGAAAGGAATATTCTATTAACATCGATTATTGAAAAAGTTGTTCAAGTATTACATCAGCTAACTTTTGCCATTTTTAAAACCTCCGTCATTCATAGTCACGAAATCGTGATACTTCCTTCCCCTAATTATGTCATCAGGCTAGAAATTTAATGTAAATATGCATTAATTATTTTTAGATAAGTTTTTGATGATTGGGGGAAAAAATAAACTACGGATGCAATCTTACGTTATCAAAAACTTGCCCCTTCCCATCCTTAGATAACGTCAGATAGAAACGAATACCCCCTATAAACTGCTGAGATAATATTCCAAAATAATTATAAAAATTATACTTAGTTTTATACATGTATATAAAAATATTACCTTATATATTACAGGAAATCAACGAAACAATTTGTATTAATATAATATTCTAATAGAATTAATAAGAAAATGCGAATCTACTGTATGTTAATACAGTCTTGAACCCTAAAACCGCAGGCCAATATTAAACCAGGAGCAGTAACCAAACAAATGCCACTCTCAGAAGGATCCTCCCTTTCTCCTCTGTTTATCTCCCCAGCCTCCTTCTCCACCTCCACTTTCTTCTACCAACTAAATACTGTGTATGGCTGTAACCTTTGTTTAAAGTATGCTAATAAATAGCAATAAACAAAGCTTAAAGGATGTATTAATCATCATTTTTTATGTTTATGTTTTAAAAAAGCGAAATATAAAAATTATAATATAAAATGTATTTATAAATTAACGCAAAAATAAAGTTCCTAGTTTTCCCCTGTATTTGCTACAGTTGCAATTTCTTAGAAAAATCCACCAAGGACAGAAAAACGGATGTCTGCAGAATATAACCTTAACACTGTTTAGCAGATTAAACTGTATGCTTATCACACATAAACAACTTGATAACTGGTGTTTACAGTTATGTACAGTACTTTATACCTACAGAATGTTTTCCCGGCTCTAAAATTAATACGGGAGCGCATATCCAACGAATACATTTTTGGAATTGGAAGACTGAAATGTCCAGAAATGCAAAAACATTCGGGTTTTTTTTTTCCTGTGTGTATGTATGTTACTGCGTACGTGGAACATAATTTTGTTCATCTCTTTTTTAAAGCTTAATAACTCCTGTGCACTTTGTCGAATTTTCTGAAATTTTGCACGAAGGTTTGCATATTGGGGGATTTATGCTGTTAAATTTTGATGGTTAAAGGTCGACAGAGTGGGGAGATAAAGGGAGACGTGTGTCGTATTTCGAGTTGGGTTTGACTTAATGACGATTTTACTCGTTATTTTTATTTACAAATTTTTTCATAAAACCCATCCCTATCCTCAAAATTAAGTTTTTTTGCCATTTTATGATAATTAAAAATATAAAACAATTCTTTTTCATAAAATATCGTAACAAATGACTCCACCAAATGTTGACGGGGAAAGTTAAGCAGCTCGTTGCTGGACTTTTCTCGTTGTAATTGTAATGAGTAAGCATATAATTTTTGAGAGAATGAATCGTATAGAACACACTTTTATGACGGATATGCAGGCTTTTATTGAGGATGTGAATGTGTCCAAAATGCATATACTCGTATATTCTCGGGAATAAAAGTCTGTGCATCCATCATAATTGTGTCCTGTACGACTCGCTCTCTCGAGCAATTTTATGCTTACTCAGTACAATTTATTTTAAATTATTTAAAGATTAAAATTTACATGAAAAAATTTATAATTAAAGAAGGGAAGTGACGTACTGCACGAGAAAATGTAGATAAGAATTTTGATTATAAATTATAACCGCAGTCAGCAAGAAGCAGAATCAACTTTTCAATTTTTCCATCTTTTTCCTCATATTCGAAAATATATAATACATAATTATGGGGATTTTTATCTTTCCATTTATAACCGGAGTGTATCTTGGACAATGTTTCGATTTGGTTAAGTTTCAGTTCAATCCCGTGAATCCATATCTGGGTATTCCTCTAGATGATTATACAACGGTAAGTATTTTTACCTTTTAAAGTTTGTTAAATAATTAAATACAATTAAATTTATGATGCGAAATTCAAATTTTAAATACCTAATATTCGCAATTTATGTAAAATATATGTAACTTATTTATAAATCATATGTTTTTATTTTATAGACAACTTCAATTAACATGGCGATGTCAAGATTCCAAGTGGTCTCAACTCCTGAAGAAATGGCAGAATTTTTGGGATTGAATGTCATCAGTTATTTAAAAAAAGAATATGGCTCTTGGCCTTACTACCCCTCAAGATTTCAATTAAACATTCCTAGAGGAAACAGGTTCAAGAAAGTTACCATCGCTGTGAGGATGAATTTACAAAAGGTGAGTAAGGAGTTACTTAAGTCGAAAAGTTTTTCAATTTGTCATACCTTTATGAATCTTACACACTGGTGAAGGAATTAACAAAACCTTTATCTTACTTCAAAAGTAATGTTTCGTTAATTTATACTAAAAAATAATTCATTCGGATTATGAGGTTCGTATAGTTTTATTTCATAATAAAATCATCACACAAGCTAAACAATTGATATACTGTGAATCTAAGATATTTCTCATCCTAAAAATATTTATTTAGGATAAAGAAACTATTTCTGTCCATGCTCCTAAGAATGAGGATTGGGAATCCAAATGGAGGTACTTCGGAGGAACACATTATCTGAAAAGTGTAACATATGGGGCAGAAGTTCACTCAGTTATTGAGATAGATTCTAAAAACAGGAGTCACTTCGAGGAGATCAAAAAAAGAGTGGAAACAGAAATCGGGTCCTCAGGAAATTTTGATGAAGATTTCGAGGGTAAGTTCTCATAATTGCTGAGATTAAACTGATGAAAAAAGCTGTTTTTTTTTTTTTTTTTAGNCGTTTTCGTGACGTACCCTATCTATGTACCAAATTTCAACTTTCAACTCCTAACCGTTTGGGCTCTGCACTTATTATTATTATCATTATTATCAACCCGTCTCGATTATATTATAGATATGTTACATATAATAAAATATTACATCTGCCTATTATTGACATTCCTTTGTAGTAGTTCTACCGGCATAGAAAATTGTTTTTGGATTGTTTAAAATATTCTCATTGGGCTACAATCTGAAAAATTGTAGATCTACAAATTGAACTATTGGCTATCTGTCTGTTCTTCCTGAATCTCGAGAACCGAGTTAGATAGATGAAAATCGAGATCAGTTGTGTAAAACGTAGAGGGGAAGAGGTCCTGGTTAACTATAGGAACTTACGATGCAAACCAGAAGTCACGTTATTTCAATTCACAAGTTTTCCCGCGAAAGTTGTTAGATAGATGACCGGCACGACTCTATTGTTAAAGGAAAAGTATGATGTGCAGGGGCAAGCCACTGCGAATTTGAGGTGGAGTGTATATATTTTATCTTAAATAAATTAAAAATATGATTAAAAATGGCAGCTCGGCATTAATAAAACAATTCAGAATAATGGTGCAGAAATTCATAAAATCTATGCAATATATGAGTAATGTTATTTGATTTATACGATAAATCTAGGTTAGTCGAAATAAACAATATGGAATATCTCTATTATTTTACTCGGGAATTAAACGCATAATCTGATCACATTACCAATTTATGAAGTTAATGGAATCCTGAATATATCAATACTTGTGGTAAAGCTGAAGGGCGCCCTACGCTTTGACACCACTTGACAGAAGGGTTGGCATCGCCTCGGTGATGACTACAATGACACAAATTCGTCAGGACTGACACCACGGTGTATTTCAGACAGACACAGAAACTGTTATGTTCACTTTTACGCGCGAGCGGTTGCGTTTGTAGGTGCTTGGGCCCAGGATGGAGATGGCCTGAGAGACAACCAGAAGAAATGCACTCTATTACCAATTTAACAATTAATAATACCCGTTTATTTACATATCAATAATATACAGAAATTGGTTAAGACGCTTAGCTGGCGATAATTTTATGAAACAATTATAGAAGAAAGGGTAACGCTTGTCATTAATATCGCGGATCCCTGACCGCGAGAGAGAGGGTTTACAATCGTTCGCGTGTCGGTAAATACCTTAGTTAGTACAAGTTGGTCCCCTTTCGGAATCGCAGAATCGGCGGATCGATGTACTCCTGGTCAACAAGGTGGTTCGAAAGTGTAAGTTCGCCGACTTCCAGGGGGAATCGTTAATCCCGCGTCTGGATGATCTAGGGTCGTTCGCGTGTGGGTGTGGCGGAGGAGACACGGATGACAAGAATCTCACAAAAACCCGTTTATTTCAAATATAAAATAACTTACACTATGATACAAAAATGTTCTTTATGATATAAATAAAATCATGTGTATCTTCAGAAGGGTCGGACTTACTGACGATTTTACTCGTTATTAGCATTTACAGTTTTTTTTTATAAAACCCGTTCTACCCTGAAAGTAAACTTTCTGCCATTTTATAATAGTTAAAAATATAAAATGTTTTTAATAATAAAATGTCATAATGGATGCGCCACCAAGTGTTGCCGGGAAAGTTAAGTAACTCGTTGCTAAATTTTTTAATTTTGTGATAGTTTGACATATTGGAAGAAGCTTAGCATAATTATATTATTAGCTCCTCTACTGCTTATTAGTATTAATAAACAGTTGAAATTAATGTAGATGAAAGAATGTTTTTCACTCAACTATTTCTTTGCTTCCTTAAAGGTAAACACGATAAAATTTAAATGCATTTATAAATAAGTAATTGCAAAGAATTAATTAGTTTTGTATTGTTATGAAATATTTTTAATTTTTCAGATTGGCCCAGCAATAATGCAATTTTATTTCAAAAGTTCACTTGGAAATGGAATGGCTGTTTGTGGCATTATACCCGAAGGTCCTTTTCGACAGAAATTCATTCACCATTGTTACACTCCTTCTCGATTTTCATCCATATTTGGTTATATTCCTTTATATTTTGAATCTAATATGGTGAGATTTTTATATTTGAATGGCTGAGACTGCAAAATATAAATGAAATGCGTGTGTTAATATTTAACAAAAAATGTTTATTTTAATAGATCGAGCGTGACGTTCGCATATGGAACTACAAAATGTATTGGAAGAATCCCTGTTTCGTGTCAGAAGACAAAACAATTGCCAAATTTAGAAAATGGTACGCTCAATTCTACAGCGAAAATAGCCCGAAGGCTGAAGAAAATAGCCTTAATTGGTAATTGGAAGTAATTTTATACTTTACAAGTTTGAAATTAATTTTATTCGGTAAATTTCTGGTTTTATAAAACTTACCATTAATTTCCAACTGTAGTTCATGATATAACTTTAAACGTTGATGCAATACCTTAAAATTACTGCTAAAATGTGAGTTGTTATGTCCAAAATTTAGTTTAACTTTTCTATTATCATAATTAAGTCTTTGTTGTAAACTAAGAAATATAATATAAAGAAAATTGATTTTTTTATAAATTAAAATAATGTTGGTTGTTTTAATATTTGTTGTTTCTGTTCAAAACTCTTAAAACACCTTTCCAATTAATGGAATTTAAGTTGAAAATGGTTTAATTACAACACTTAGTATATTAATTATAACCTACAAATATGGATAATAAGATATATATATATATATATATAT